ATAAACTTTTAAGCTTACTGCGCTTTTCAAAAACAGGCAAACTCTGAAGTTTAAAAAGCCGCCTTCACAATTACGTTTTTTGCTGCCGCCAATCTTAATTACGATCACTAGCAGCGAACCTTGTAACACAAAAACACACAAGACGGACCTCAATCCACCAATCACAAATCAGAAACCACGACCTTTTGAACGCGTTGATGTAAACTTCTGTTTCCTAAGAGGTCCGCTAAGATGATGACGGCAGCAAAAAACACAAACGTCAGTTGGCTTTTGAACTTTAGAATTTGCGAGTTTATGAAAAACGCAGTAATATGTAACTTGTAAAGTGAGTGGTAAACTTAAATTTAAAATAAACCATAAAAAGTTGTTAGTAATATTTACAGCCTCTCCATGTTTTGTTGGTGTACCTTTCTCTGAAGTCCATATTTGATTGAATTAACTTTCATTCGATCTGATATAGATGAACCGTGATTCATATTTCCCGCCATATTTTTCTCTCGAATGACGTAAAAAATTACCCTGCCAGCAGAGTGGCTTCGATCTTTCTACGTCCAAACATTCAAGATTGTGCTCAAAACAGTGAAAAATCTCGCAGATTACAATTACGAAGACAAAAATCCAAATAAGCTTACATGGAAAGAAAATTCGAGTTGACGCATAAGCATTGTCGGTTGCTGCCCTTTGCAGCCTCTGCAGAAGGTCGAATTTAGGGAGCCCCCATCGAAATTTCGGGAAAGTGGCTCTTTGAAAACTTCACACCACCAGACAAAAGACTCAAAACTACTCTTGAGCTTCAAGTACGTCATTTTCACCGAGCAAATCAACTGCTATGAAAAGGAAAATTAAACTCGACTACTATGAAACGGGATACACGTGTTGACACTTCTGGCTCCGAGAAAGGAATGGGAAAGAGCTGATTACATCACGGGACGTCATAGCAGATATTAAACGTGACACTGACTGTGGGGAGTTGCGGAAATTTTCTATCTGAAACGGATACTGCTAAGACATCTACGTGGAAACCTGCGTACAGATATGAACAGAATTCTTGACTTGTTAACCCCTTCCTGTTCTCAGACAGGACGTCTAGGCTCACAACACTCATAACTTTGAACGAGTCCCAGAGTGAGTGCATTCAAAAAAATTGTCTTTTAAGAAACCAAAATTACTTATACGGTTTCCGTTTAAAATTCTTGGTTTGAAGAAAAACCATTTGCCGAAAACAAAAATGTGAAATTGCGCACACTTTTATTTGATTCGCGTAATCAGCTATCAAGGCACGCCCTAAAAGCACGTACGAGAGCTTTTATCCGAGGTCTTATCGCCTCAATTATCCCCAAATGGCTGCATAAAATACTGCAAATTGAGGTTCAAAGTTGTAAAAAAAGGCAAGGAAGGGTTGAAAGACTTAACGTTCATCTTCTAAGATAAGCCATTCCCTTTGGGCAAAGTCCTCGAGAAGTTCAGCGATACCGGGGATTCCTCTGTTTTGATTTGCTTTCGCCATGTTAAAAAAAACAAAATTAGATTTTAAATCATGAGATATCAGGAGATATACCATATCGTTTACAAGTATCATTTTGTTTTAAAACCCTTCTTCTCTAAAAGCCTATATACATTTTATGACAATGGGGCCATGCAGTAGTTCAAAAACTTTTCCTACTGAGGTCCACTGATGAAACCCCTTCGGCATCACCTTCAGTGATGTGTGCTATTTCATTTTTCACTATTTAGCAAAATGTTTTAAAAAATTCGGTAGTCTTTGGAATCAAATGATTGTGAACAAGACAATCTGTTCTCGTGGAGGAGTGAGTAGACGCATGATGACGACATTTAGTGTCATGAAATACTAGCTTTCAATTGAATTGACGGATGACGTTTAACGATCGGACATTTCATGCACAAATCCAACACGTAGAATATTGAATTTTCAAAAACTTATACTTAATTTAAAGGAAGTTACAGTTAACTCACAGCGATGTCAGCTTCAACTCTGTGACTTTTCATCAGAAAGAAAAGCCCCAACTGCAGAGACCTAGATCCCCGTTACGATCATTGGTCAGCTAAAGTCATCATGCCCGAAGAATGACTTTTTCGCACCGGCAAAGAAGTGTCGTCATCATAATTGGAGATTGGACCTAAATGTAAGATCAGCAAATTCAAACAATCCACCTAACTGACAAGCTCACCTCTCAACAAGAGTCATGGCGTAACAAACCATTAACGCAGCAAATATCACGAATATAGTCTTCATTTCAGCTTGTCGCTTGATCCTCACAAGCAGTTAACGGGATGGACTGTGGATAGAACCTGATTACGACTCGTAGTTTTATAGGAGGAAGATGATTGCGAAAGAACGAGCTTCGCCCACGGGCTTCTGTCCAAGTTAAGAGAATGTTTGCTCTCTCAGCCACTCATTTTATAAGATCGGTAATTCAATACGTGATGTATCTTTAATGATGACAAACAACTGTTAGAAATTGAATGCATAATATCAGTGTCAACAATCGATTTCCTGTGATAATCTGTAAAGCACGCTAAATAAGCAAAAACGACGGCGGGGAAGCTCAAGTGATCTCTGTTTTCTGCTATTTCTGGCAGGGATTGACAGCTTTTTTGTTAAAAGGGAAATCTAACACCCTAGCACGAACATGGAAGAAAAGAGGAAAAAAGAGCGAAAGGTGGAACTCTTCCCCTATCGTCTTTTCAATCTCATGTAGACAGGAGCTTAAAACCTTGCTGATCCTTAGCCCTTAGGAGGGCTTCTGATACACGAATACACCAAGGTTAATAGCAGTCCCGGGGGGTGCACTCCCTTATTTGGCCTATACGGGTATGTGACGCCGAGCAGGGTATGGTTTTCAAGGTCTTGAGTCTTAAACAGGGTATACAATTTCACTATTTAGCGTCTTGAACAAGGTGTCTTTTTGGACTGGAAACCTTTCAAAGAGTAAGAAGGCTTGCGATAAGCGGTCTACATTTGTAATACCAATAATTTTTTTTCCTAAACATGTGTTTCCACGATTTTAGAGTGAAAAATTACTTAATTCTGCCTGATTCTGTATGCAAAACAAAACAAATCAGGGGAAAAAAAAGTAGTGTCTTCTGTCTTTTTCTCGCTTCCTCCCAAACCGCCCCCGCCCCCTAAGTAGTTTTGACACTAATGCAAGATGGCAACCCGTAACGCAGAGCGCTCGATCTCGATGACTCTGCCTGTTCTGGTAGAATGTTCGGGTGCGTACCACGTACCAAAAGCGGGCCGAAGAAACGAACGGAGGCTCGCGGGGAGAACTGGCGCCTTTGCTGATGGGCGCGAGGAGTGAGAAAGCCAAGACAAGGGAATGGAAAATTCCTCTGCGCTCTTTTTCTAAGTTCTCTGCTGTTTGCCAAGACCATGACGTAGCTGATCTCACCGTCTGTATAGTAGGCTGAGAGAAGAAAAGACTAAAACTTCAGGAGTACTTGCAGAGTTAATAGTCATTAACTGGGTCATTAAGGAATTGAAGGAATAAAGATACTGAAGGTAGAAAACATCTTATCATCTAAGTGAGCCGACTTAATGTATACCGTGTTAGGATACAATGATATTTCTTCAAGGATTATACCTTTTTCTTTTAAAACTGTAGAAGTAGTCTGGAGAGAGAGGAATTTTTGGCGCTGGGACTGTATCACTTTACAAGTTTAGTAAAGAAGAAAGGTCAAGCGCAAGATAGTTCTCTTGTTGGTCAAGAGGCCATTAATGTGTTGCAGTCGAGTAGAATGCTGTCATTTCTAGGCTTCTCTTGACGTTGTTTCAGTAAGCTCGGCTTGGTGCCAGGCGACCCTCCTTGCAATGCGGAAGTCCCAAGGCGTGGTTGCCGGCTGACATGCGCCAAGTGGAAAACTTATTTGACTTGCAGCGTTCGCTCGTGAGCCGATGTTCGTCACTGGCTACGACGAGGCTAATAGAGCTGATTTAGGATGGCAACAGAGTCACCCCGAAAAGTCTCGAAAGCAGGCATTAAAATTCATTTCCTTCTCTTGGAAGGACGGTGGGGAAGAGTTCACATTCTAAACCAATCATAAAGTACCAAATTCTGCGCGCATGGCCTTGAGGTCTCAGTTTTAACCAGAAATTCACTTACTGTCAACTCTTTGAGTTATCAAGTGTTTAAAAATTTATTTGAAAATAAGAAAAACGAGCGATTATTTACGGGCTGTATCATTGGTAGGCCTTTCCCGATTGCGCTGCGCACCTTTTGAGCACTATTTTGCATTTTGAGCACCCTTAAGCACTTTTTCGCACTTTGGGCAACGTTTGAGCAATATTTCACATTTCGGGAAAATTTCGAGCAACATATGTCTTCTAAAACATTTTAAAGCAAAAACTGTGTGTCGCTCGCAACGAGAATCGTGTTCCAGGTCATAAATTTGAATAACTAATGATGTTGTCAAGAATAAAAGACCGTTGTCATGGAAAGGCACGTGGACTTATCCTTACTGAGGGTGAGAACAGAAGTTCCTGATTAGCTGATGTATCATGCGTGTGTCATCTCAAATTTCTAAATCATCTAATGTCTAGGCTTTGCACTAGTACTGCTGAATTTATTTACAATTCTTAACCGGCTTTAGTCTTTTAAAAATATTGTTGTTCTATATTCTATCAACCTTTCGTAACAACCTGTCGAATAACACTACGCAAAATGGATTGTTAATTACTTCAGTAAAAATTGACACATTTACGAAAAGCTTAGAGGTAACTGTTCACAACTTTTAGCACTTTTTGAGCACTATTTTGAGATTTTGAGCACTTTTTGAGCACTTTTTAGCCATTTTTGCCAGCACTTTTTAAGAATTTTACGAGCGCAATCGGGAAAGGCCTAATCATTGGGACTGACAGAAAAAATGGTTCAAAAATGTGCTGAAACCGTACTCAAAGCATCGGAAATCCGAATCTCGCATTAGAGACGTAGACATCATTTGGCCAACCTCGTCCCCAGGGCGCTTTTCCCTGGCTTTGGCTGCTGTCTCTCATCCGACAACGGTTGAGCTTCAAATGTACAATTACTAGATCCTGTTGATTTTGGCATTAAAACTGCAGTTGTAGCTGGCCGAGTCGGGAAAGCTGGCTGCTCTGCAGAACTTGATGTGGTTTGTGCCAACGGCTGATCCGCAAACGTACTCTTAAAAGCAAGCTCATCTCCTGTTGATCTGGGTATCAGAAAAGTAGCATCTTGCGGAGTTGACAAAGACAGCTCCTCTGCAGAATTTGATGTACTTCGTTTGGGATGCTTCGCAGAAGTGGTTGTACATGTGGAATTATCTGCCGTCGTGGCTGGCGGAGATGAGAAGGAAAGCTGTTTTGCAGATCTACCTGATGTGATTCGCTTCGACGGCTGATCCACATTGGAGCTTTCGGGTGGCATATCCTTCGATAAACGCTTCGAAGGCTGATGCGAAGACGGCGAAAGTTGAACGCATCGCTTTACAGAATATTCTGTGTTTACTAGATCAGACGGCGTATTGTCTAGAGATTGGGCCCTTTGAATGAACTGATCCATTTTCTCAACGAACGCAACGCAAGTCCTACACACCACTGTTGACCTAGCTGACCTCGTATCGTCCTCAGAAATTTTGATCCCACACGTTTTGTTAACCTTCGAACACAAATCTTTAGTTGAACCGGCCTTGCTGAATATCCGTAGCATATAGCGACTCTCATAGGAACCACCACATAGCCTGCAAACTGGATTTCTTGCAGAAATCTTCGTCGGAGTGGAAATACTTTCCGCCATTTCGATTTCGGTATAATGCATAAATTATTTTTATTTGGTCATTTTCTTACATAAGTTACCTAAATCAATCAACCAATCAAAATGACGGATCGACCGGCCGATGCCAGGGCCTTTTCCCGCCCCGCCCCCAAAGCCAGGGGAAAGCGCCCTGGGGACGAGGTTGATCATTTGGCCGGAAATGGTTTTCCACAATAGGAACTGTGTATTTATTAACGATGACAATAAGAGTAATAATGATAACAATAATGATAATGATAATGAAAATATACATATCGGGGAGTCTGGCTCAAAAATTGGCGATGCTGTAACCACTGCACGTGTCAAGGCCCGTATTAACTTTGCCCCTACAGGCTCCTTGTTGTCCGGAAATATTACAGAGTTATGTGTTCACGCCTAAATAAACGTGTGGATCGGGAGAAATATAGACTGCAAAACAGTCCGTATTTTTGCGTATTCAAGTATATAAGAACAGTCAAACAAAAGCTGAAAACGGAGAGCGAGACGCCCTACGCGCCCTGCGGGCGTGTGAGGCTCGTGTGCGAAGCTCTCAATCACGCTGCTCTTACTCTACTCCAAACCGATTTAAAGAAAAAAACCCGACTATTTTGCGGTCTAGGAGAAATAAGATAGTCAAGATAATCACAGTAATGGTCTCATCAGAGGAACCGAGCAGGATCAAATCTCTTCCTGTTTTATTGATAAGGGGAATTCAGTGAACTCACCGGACTCTCTTGAGCCGTGAGTCCAATACATATGCAGTCATATGTACAGTCAACTCTCTTCTGACGGACATCTCACTAAAACGGGCACCCAGCCTAGCTAGAGCCTTGGTCCCTGTCTTTATTTACTCCTGGGTATCTCCCCCAAGGGAAAGGGGCAAGACAGAGTGAGATCTGGGTACGAGATTAACATTCTTCGTCTCAGACCATGGCTTAGCAACGCATGCACCAAGAAAGTCTACAATACTCAAAAGAAAAATCAGTGATAAATGCCCTTACAGAATTATTAAACAGATTGAATTAAACCTGACCAGGAGCTCACAGCAAATTTTTTAGAGCTTTAGGAGGACAGCCCATGGTGTTGCGGAATTCTTTTTATCTTTTTAACCCCGCTCCGCTGGTTCAAACAAATCAAGAGGACTGTATCTTTCGATGCAGCAACACGATTTAATGCAATCCAACAATCTACAGCGAAGTACAACTCTCACATATTCAACGTTCGTAAGACAACGATCAACGTAACTAAACGATCAACGATCAACGATCAACGAATCGATCAACTCAACGATCAACTATCAACTATGAACGATCGACTCAACTAAAACATTCTAAGTATACAGTGGTTTTTCTACTATTCTTGCGTAAGGCAGTATTTTTACATTAATCACATGTACAGTAAAAGTTCCCATTGTAATGTATCTAAATTAAGTGTCTATTACAAAATCGCACGTTCTTTCACCCTATTTAGCCTAAGAGAATGCATGCAGTTACATCATTTTATATCGTAAATATACTCGGACTTTGTCTACATTATTGGGATCTTGTTTACTGTGGGTAATGTCGACTGAGATGTCGGTCGACATAGCGGTCGACATAGCGGTCGATATAGCGGTCGACAGTCGGTCGATAGTCGGTCGACAGTCGGTCGATACTCGGTCGATAGTCGGTCGACAGTCGGTCGATACTCGGTCGATAGTCGGTCGATAGTCGGTCGATGGTCGGTCGATAGTCGGTCGATAGTCGGTCGATAGTGAGATAGACTATCGGCCGAGTATCGGTCGATGTTTCGACGACGCACCTCGACTTACTATCGGTCATATGTCGGTGATATATCGGTCAACTGTCGGTGGTATATCAGTCAACTGTCGGTGGTATATCGGTCAACTGTCGGTGGTATATCGGTCAACTGTCGTTCGAATATCAGTCGTGTGTTAATTTATCAGGTGAGTCCAATGGCTTTTTTTTTAAGCAAAGACGTCATTAATTACTGTTATCATGCGATGGGGGAACATGTGGCAGTGCGAGGCGCGATTACTCTATGAAGCGAACCGAAGAGCACTAAGGGAACTAAGGACATGATAACCATTTTTTTTTCCAGTTTGTATCATCACCGATCGTCTGAGTTTTAGCTGAAGTGGACGAATAATGAATAGGAAAAGCCAGTTGATGACATGCTTTAAGAGCGAGGAATACACATCTTTTATTATCGGGCTTTGACCTGCTTCATCACGCCAAGTTCTCGTTTGTGCAG